TTCCAGTTCCTTCCCGGGCCCTACCTCAGTTCCCTCGGGTCACCCCACCTCCGTTCCATCTCCCTCAGGCTGGAGTTCCCCAGCCTTCCTAGCCCACTTTGCCCAGTCAGCTCTGTTCCCAAGTATTGGCCTTCACCAACTGTGACCTCACCTGCCCCCTACCTCTGCCTCTCGACATCCCAGGCTCTTTCTCTAAGCAAAAGAACTTGGTCCGCATCCCAGGAAGCAGCGAAGGCTCCAGTTCACATGGCCCCGAGGAGGAGACAGGCAGCAGTGAGGAACGGGTAAGATACTGGGTCCCCACATTCCGCTGTGCTTCCAGACCCACATAATAACCCAGTCCAACCCGCCCTCAACCTCAAGCATGGCCCTAGCCTTTTTGCTGTTTTGTTTTCCAAGACAGGGTTTCTCTGTATAGCCCTGACTGCCGTGGAACTGTGTACGTAGACCAGGCTGGCCTTCAAATCAGTGATCCTCCGACCTCTGCCTCCTGAGTGCTGAGATTAGGGGCGTGTGCCGCTGCACCCAGTTTGCCCCGCTCTTGAATGTAATGACTCTGGACCTGCAGTACCCTCAGACTGCAGATACCCCCCCCCCCCGCCCAGTTATCCTTTCTGCTCAGTATGTCCTCACAGCCTTATTCATTGCTCTAAGTCTAGACTCAGCCCTCTCCTTCAGCCTGGGCTCCAAACGATGGCTGTGAAAGCCATCGGGACCCTATGTGAGATAGGACAATCTTCTTCTTTTTTTTTTTTTTTTAAGATTTATTTCTTTATTATGTATATGTAACTCTGCCTGCATGACCACCTGCGCACCAGAAGAGGGCGCCAGATCTCATTATAGATGGTTTATGAGCCACAAAGTGGTTTCTGGGAATTGAACTCAGGACCTCTGGAAGAGCACTCAGTGCTCTTAACCTCTGAGCCATCTCTCCAGCCCAGGACAGTCTTCTGATCTCTTCCTGTCATGTCATTCTTTCTCCTGCTTCAGGGTCCCATTGTGCACACAGACCACAGTGACTCGGTTCTTGATGAAAAAGAGGCTCTGGAGGCAAAGGTGAGTATTGGGGAAGGAGCTCGCTCTCAGCCGCTGAGCCTGTAGCTCTCCCCACTTAAATTAAAAACAACAACAAAAATCTTTATGGAGACAGGGTCTCTCACTGGCTTTGACTCAGCACAGTCTTTCTCCTGTAGAACTTCAGACCTGGACACTACATTTGGCTCCTTCCTTGCTTCTGTCTCCTTTTGATTCTCTCACCTTAAGACCTACCTTTGTGTGTGGTGGCACACACCTTTAATCCCAGCACTTGGGAGGCAGAGGCAGGAGGAGCTCTGTGAGCTCAAAGCCAGGCTGGTCTACAGAGTGGGTTCCAGGATAGCCAGGGGTTGTTACTCAGAAAACCCTGTCTCACAAAATCAAACCAAGAGAGAAAAGAAGGAAGGAAAAGTGCAAACAAAGGAGGATCATCAGGTAAAGGAACTTGCCAAACCTTTTGACCCTTGAGTTCAGTCCCAGAGACTGACAAGATGGAAGGAGAAAACCAACTCCCTCTCTGTTCTCTGACGGCCACATATGTCAACAGAGTGAGTTCCAGGACAGCCAAGGCTGTCCTAACCCTAATCCTAACCCTTACCCTAACCCCAATGAAGAAACCCTGTCTTGAACAACCCCCCCCCCCCAAAAAAAAAAAAAAAAGACCTTCCTTTAACTCCACTCTCAACTCCTGGGCCAGCTCATCAGCTTTATTTGGCTGCTCTCTTCCAGCTAGGCGTCTTCCTCTCACTAGGTCCCACCCTAGCCTCACATTCCCCAGAGACATCCCTGCTTTGGAATTCTATCTTTTTAAAAATAATTCATTTAGCTGGAGAGATGGCTTGGAGGTTAAGAACACTGGCTGCTCTTCTAAAGGTCCTGAGTTCAATTCCCAGCAACCACATGGTGGCTCACAACCATCTATAATGAGATCTGGTGTCCTGTCATGCAGATAGAACATTGTATACATAATAAATAAAAAAAAAATAATTCATTTAATTTTATCCTATGTGTGTTAGTGTGAAGGCGTCAGATCCCTTGGAATTGACATTACAGACAGTGTGAGCTGCCATGTGGGTGCTGGGAATTGAACCCGGGTCCATTTGGAAGAGCAGACAGTACTCTTAACCCCTGAGCCCCTGGAGTTCTATCTTAGGGTAGACACATTGATTCTGGCCCAAGCTCGAATTGGAAAGCCGCCGCCCTGACTGTTCTTTCAGACGGTCTCACATATCCCAGGCTGGCCTCACACTGAGGATGTAGCCAAGGATGACCTCGAACCCCCATTAAAGGCATGTGCCAAACACTGACTTTATGTAGTGCTGGGAACCAAATCGTGGGCCTTGAGCATGCTCTACTGACGTCCCTAGCCCCAGTTAAAGCCTTCTTGTCTATACTTGTGCTTTCATCTTGTCCTGAAACCCACCCTCCCTCCTCCACCTTCTCCCCCCTCCCAGACCCCCTTCCTCTCGCCTTCAGCCAGACCTTGCTTGTTTAGGAAGCCAGCACACACACATACTTACAGACTCCATCCATCTCTGCTGGTCTATATACCTAGCTCTCTCTGTCTGGGAGTCTCTGCTTCTGCTCCTTCTGCCTTTGTGCCTCTCTCTAGGTCCTGCCGTAGCTCAGCGTGTCTCTGCCCCCATGATCCTTGCCTTCCTGTACCCTCACATTCCTCACCAAAGTCTCATTGGTTCCTCAGGATCCAACCAACGGCTACTACAAGGTTCGAGGGGTCAGTGTGAGCCTCAGCCTTGGGGAAGTTCCGGGAGGAGGGCTCTTCCTGCCCCCGCCCACTCCGGCCGGACTGCCAGGGACTCCTACTTACTATGACTTCAAGCCACACCTGGACTTAGTACCCCCCTGCAGACTGTACCGAGCACGGGCAGGTTACCTCACCACACCGCACCCCCGTGCGTTCGCCAGCTACGTGAAACCCACATCCTTTGGAGCCCCAGATTTGAGCTCTGGGACTCCGCCCTTCCCCTATGCTACCTTGTCTCCTCCCGGCCACCAGCGCCTCCAGACTCATGTGTGAAGACCTCTCTCCAACTGAAGGGTCTCAGGACCTTCAACCTGCCATAGAGGGTGTTGCCCAGATTTCTAAGGAAGCAGAGCACGTTGATGACCTACGCCTCCAAAACCGAACACCGAAGGAGGGGAAGAGCATTTCAGCCATCGGGACCATTGATGCATAGCTCAGCCAAAGGGGAGTCTCCAAGTGGGAGCAATGTGGCCACTGTCCCCGCTTATTCTCCCGTGAGAAAGACATTCAAGATGGTCACCAAACGCTTTGCATGGGGACGACGTCAGGAGGTGATGGGAATTAGGGACATGGATGGAGGGCCAGTAGAGAAGATATTTGAAAATGACCATGTACATCAAAAATAATGATAGGGTAAAGCAAATCAAGATGAGAGAAATCATTCCCCCAGCCCACTCCGTCCTGGCTTGCCCAAGGAGGGGAACTTTGGCCAATACTAGTATAGCCAATATGGCTGTCCATTCTCTGGGAACCCAAAATGGCCTCTATCTTGATTCCTTCCTTAAAGACACAGAGAAAACTGAATCCAAGGAGTGAGGCTGGGATGAGAATAAAGGAGATAAGGGGGATTTGGGCTAAGAATATTTATGTTTAATTTAAAAATGCAAAGAGGCGAATGTGCTGGTGTTTTCCATCAGTGAAGGGGTCCAGAGTTTGTGCTGTATATTGGCCTTCCTCTCCCCTGGCCCAGGGGCGGCCAGCAGCAGGAATAAAACCCTATGTCCTTTCTTAGCCCCCCTACCTGCTTACTACTGTAGTCTCTTCTTGTTCTGTTTTAAGCTTTATTATTTTATGTGTGTGGGTGTTTTGCCTGCATGTATGTCTGTGCACCACATATGTGCCTGGTCCCTGAGGCCAGAAGAGGACGGTGGATCCCCTGAAACTGGAGTTACAGACTGCGTGGGTGCTGGGAACCGAACCCAGGTCTTCTGGAAGAGCAGCCAGTGTTTTTAACCACTAAGCCTTCTCTCAGCAGGGTTTAAGCCTGGAACTCTTGATCTTCCCGCCTCAGCGCCCCTGGGATTACAGGTGTACAGCCCACTTTAGGCTCTTTTAATAACACACCCGGGTTCACCCCACCCACGCCCACAAAGACGAAAACAGACGGGCAGGTTCAAGCAGAGGCATACACACAGCCGGGCTGCCCTCGGTTGACCCGGGAAAACAGAACAGTCCGTATTCACGCGAGGAGATAAAACAGTGAACCCTTTAGGCGGAAGACTTGAGGTGGTCCTCAGCGTGGGTGAGGCCGGTCCTCAGGTCTTTGAAGGTTACAGAGTCCAGCAGCTAACCTGAGTCGTCTTTAAAGAAAGGGGCTTTGGCCATGGAGTTTTGAAGGGCCAGACATCTTGGCAATCAGGGCAGGAAGACTGAATTCCCAGGTCTGAGGAAGAAAGGGTGGGAGGCCAGAGGAGGCCTGGAGGGCAGCAGGTCTTGAGGCGCTGCTGTGTTTTGTCTTTTGAGGCTGGGTCTCGGGCGGGTGGGCTAGCCTCACACTCCTATCTTCCTGTCCCACCTCTCAGCTGCTGGGGCCAAGGGCATGTTTATCACACTCCCTATGTTCTTGACTGGGGAAATTTTGGAGGTCTCTGTTCCTGGGACCTCAAGAGAGGAATTTATGGAGGAGACCCCACCCCGACTCCGTGGATTCGGGCATCCTTGGAGGACAAAGCTGAGGGTGGGTGCCTGCTTTGTCCAGGAGAGAAGGCCGAGGGCGAAAGGCTGAGAGACTTTTCGTGGGGTGTGCCACCTGGAATCCCGAGGGGCCGGGGCTTGGCGCAGGCTCCCTCCCGGGGTTCCGGAGCCTCTGTGTGCGCAGAGCAGCCACGCTATTGTCCTGGCTGGGAAGGCGGGGCCGGCGCGGGGCGGGGCTGGCGGCGCCGGCGCAGCCCGGGGGCGGCGGGAGGAGGAGGCGGCGGCGGCGGCGGCGGTGGTGGCGCTGGGAGCTCCTGTCACCGCTGGGGCCGGGCCGGGCCGGGCGGGAGCGCAGGGGACGTGAGGGCGCGAGGCCCGGACATGGGGCCCGCCAGCCCCGCAGCTCGCGGTCGGGGCCGCCGCCGGGGCCCGCCGCCGCTGCCGCTGTTGCTGCCGCTGTCGCTGCTGCTTCTGCGCGCGCAGCTCGCCGTCGGGAGCCTGGCTGGTGGGAGCCCCAGCGCGGCCGAGGTGAGGCTCGGCCGGGTCCTGGGGATGGGGGAAGGGGCGGGACCGGGTCCCTGGACCTGGACGCAGCGTGGCCACCGCGGAGAGCGCAGTCCTTTTAGCCAGGGGGCCTGCCCCACTCGCTCCCCATTCTCGGGCTCCCCCCATCGCCTGACGTCCCTGCCCCCTCCCGCCCGCATCGTCGGACCTGGCTCTCCCGGAGCCCCTGGTCCTAGAAATCTAGCGCACCCCTAGACGACAAAGCCCCAAGCCCTGCCCACCTGCACGTAGGACCCATCAGGCAGCGGGCGCTTGGATCTAAGCATCCAGCTCCCTTGTGTCCTCTGGACCCGCATGAGGCCCCCAGCCCCGAACCATTCAGGGGTCCAGGCCTCCACCCACTTCTCAATCCAGATATAGCTCCCCTAGTCCTTCCAAGAGCTGATGTGCAGGCCTGCAAGGAAGCCCGGCCCTGTCGTCTTTGCACCCCCTCAATGGGAACCTGAACTGGGGATGGAGGAGGAGGGGCCAGAATGCCTGGGTTCCCCCCTACCTCCCCCCCCCCCCGCGCGCCCCACGATTCAAGTTTAACTCCTTCGGGCTCCGGATTCAAGCTGCTGGGGCGGGGGCGGAGCCTGTCTTCTCAGCTCCCAGGCCGCGAGAAACCCGGAGTGTGTGAGGGGGGGAGATCCTCGTCACCATAGCAACGGGAGAGCTAGGGCGCTCTCGCCCCGCGGGATCTGTTTCCCGGGGAACGGCCCCTCCACCCAGGAGTTGCTCAGAAGGAGCTGGTGCTAGGTGCAGGGGTCCTATCTGGGATTGAGGGAGCAAAGGACCAGACAACCCCGAAGCCAGCATTCCGCGGCCCCTCACCGCCCCTCTGCTTCCACTCCTAGGCTCCGGGGTCGGCCCAAGTGGCTGGGCTATGTGGGCGTGTAACCCTTCACCGGGACCTGCGCACCGGTCGCTGGGAACCGGACCCACAGCGCTCGCGGCGCTGTCTCCTGGACCCGCAGCGCGTGCTGGAGTACTGCAGACAGGTGGGCGGGACCCACGGGAGAGGCGTGGTCAGTGGGGAGGTGGGCCCAAGCTGGGACGGGGTCGCCCTTGAGGAAGCTAGCCTTGGGAAGGACGGAGGTTCGGGGAGAGGAGAGGGTCTGGAGAGCCGGGGCAGGTTTGGGGTCTGTGACCGGCGGAGGGGGGGGGCAGGGCTAGGGCAGACTCTGTGTTGGGGCATGAGGGGGGGGGGGGGGGGGAAAAAAGAAAGTCGACCGAGCAAGAGCGCCCGAAGAGTGGCGGGGCCTGGGAATCTGGAGCCTTGTTAGAAAGAGTGGGCGTGGGAAGTGGGCGTGGTCAGCGGAGGAGGCGGGGCTTAGATACAGCGCGCAGAGGGCTCCGACCTGAAGCCGACGAGATCCGGGAAGCGAGGGAGTCCCTTGAGAGCGGGAGCCTCGGAGGCGTGCAATGAAAAGGCGGGGCTCGTACGGAGAGCCCCGTTCCTTAGAAGCCACCCGGAGAAAGGCGAGGCGAGAAGGAGGGCGAGACACTTTGAGAAAGAAACCCGATTCCCGGGCCGCGTTGCCCTGAAATACAGACTTCATGAACAGGCCTCGGGGACCCTTCACCAAGACCTCCTGAGAGTGGTGACCTTAGCCACCAGGGGGCATAAGCAATGGGCACCCTCGGCTTAGCCACCTGGTCCGTCTAGACACAGAGACGGGCGAGAAAGGCCCGGGGGATGTCCTGAGGAGCGCTAGGGATTGACCACGCTGACCATGCTGGCATGGGCCCGTAACCCCAGCCGTCGGAGAGGCTGAGGGAGAAAGGCAGCAAACGGAAGGGCCGCGTAGGCTACGGAATGAGCTCGAGGTCAGCTTAGGATACGTAAGGAGACCTGGTCTCCAAATAAAACCTGAAAAAGAGGGCCGGGCATGTAAGCTCAGTGGCAGAGCACTGGCTTTGGCATGCCTGAGGCCTTGGCTTCGCTCCCCCCTCCCCCCCCCCCCCGCCCCCCCCCCCAGGGCGGGGGGGGGGGCCGGGCGCTGCGCCCCCCCCCCCCCCGCTGTTTCCCGCAGATGTACCCAGAGCTGCACATCGCCCGCGTGGAGCAGGCTGCGCAGGCCATCCCGATGGAGCGCTGGTGTGGGGGCAGCCGAAGCGGCAGATGCGCCCACCCGCACCATGAGGTTGTGCCCTTCCATTGCCTGCGTGAGTCACCTGCTGGGGGGGGGGCGCTGAGGTGAAGTGGGGGTGTCCCGGAGGGGGACGTTTGGAGCGCCGCTCCAGTCTGGGTGCTGGGCTGAGAACGCTCTGCGGAGACCGATGCCCGGACTCTGAGGGTTCTGGTGTCTCCCATTCCCCAGCTGGCGAATTCGTGAGCGAGGCCCTGCTGGTGCCCGAAGGCTGTCGGTTCTTGCACCAGGAGCGAATGGACCAGTGTGAGAGCTCAACCCGGAGGCATGAGGAGGCTCAGGAGGTCAGGAGCTTGTCCCGCCTACCTCCTAACTGAGGACTGGGAGGCCAAGTCCTGACTTCCTCCCAGAGGCCAAGGGTCCTAACCCTCAGCCGCCTCTCCTGGACCCAGCATCGGGCGCCACCCTCCAACCAGGTCCTTTTGGCCTCCGGCCTCCTCTCCCTGCAGGCCTGCAGCTCCCAGGAGCTCATCCTGCACGGCTCTGGCATGCTTTTGCCCTGTGGCTCTGATCGGTTCCGGGGTGTGGAGTATGTGTGCTGCCCCCCTCCAGCAACGCCCAACCCGTCCCGGATGGCAGTTGGGTGAGTGACAGAGACTCCCTATGCCCTCCCCAAGAGGGGTGTTGGGGGTAGGAGGGGGGAAGGATGGAAGCCTGGGAGCCCATCGGGGGATCTTACCACCTGAGTCTTCTGCTTCTTCAGCGACCCCTCTACCCGGTCCTGGCCCCTGGGGGACAGAGCAGAGGGAGGTGAGGATGAGGCAGAGGCGGAGCCCTTCCCTCAGCCAGTGGACGACTACTTTGTGGAGCCTCCCCAGGCTGAAGAAGAGGAGGAGGAGCAGGAAAGGGCCCCACCTCCCAGCTCACACACCCCTGTCATGATCAGCAGAGGTGAGGCAGTATCCTCTCCCACCCCCGCCTCTCTTCACCATTTGTGGTTTGGGGGAGCACAGTGGAGCAAAACTGGGGAAAGGGAAGAGATGGAAATGGCTTTGGATATGGGTAGATGAGTCTGTGAAGAATGAAGAGGGAGAGGCCCTCCACAAGGGGGCGCTTGGAAGAGGGGGAGTCATTTGCTAGGCGCCCCCAGGATCATGTTGACAATGACCTGAAAATGTATGAGGGGTTCCCGAGTTTTGCAAACACAAGGTCAGGCCTGGAACCTTGATGTCAGACAACAACCGTCCCTAAACCGGACACAGGCTGCTCTCCAGTGCATCCTGGGAAAGGGGCTTCTCAGGAATGAGGGACCTGCCTGCCTGACCCCTTCTCTTGCAGTCACTCCTACCCCGAGGCCCACTGACGGTGTGGATGTTTACTTCGGCATGCCTGGGGAGATCAGCGAGCATGAGGGGTTCCTGAGGGCCAAGATGGACCTGGAGGAACGCAGGATGCGCCAGATCAATGAGGTGATGATACAGGGAAACCGGCACCACTGCAGGGGAATTCTTCATTGACCCTGCCCCTAAAGAGTAACCTAGCATCCTGCTACCAGAGCCCATGCCACCCTGTAATACGGCAACAGACTAGTGTCCCGCCTTGCAGACCACCGAAATGCCACCATAGATAGACACTCCAGCCTGTTGCACAATCCACTTAAATTCCTTTGGAGCTGGTTGGGCGTAATAACAAATGCCTTCTTCCTGACACGTGAGAGGCTAAAGCAAGAGGATCAGAAGTTCAGGGCTAGCCTCGAATACATAATGGCTTTGAGACTATCCTGGGCTACTTGAGAACCTGTCTACAAACAAACAAACAAACAAACAAACAAACTGTCTTGGGAACAGGAAGTCCAGTGGCACTTTGTGATCCTACTCATTCTATTAAGCTTGGAGATGGGTGGGGGACCCCGGTATAGACTGGGTGGATCCTGGGACCCTGAAGTGCCCCTCCCCCCCAGGTGATGCGTGAGTGGGCCGTGGCCGACAGCCAGTCTAAGAACCTGCCGAAGGCCGACAGGCAGGCCCTGAATGAGGTAGGACACCATCCTCTGAGCCTCACCACTGAGACTCTCACCGTCCTCTGAGTCTGCCCACCCCTAGGGCCCAGTCCACCCCTTTCAGCTCCTTCCTACTCTCCCCTCCCAGCCCCAGCCTCGCATCTGGCTGGGAATGCAGCCCAGGACCAGGTGCCCGCTGCTGTCCAGCACTGCCCTTTGAGGCTGGCTTTGGAATCCTCCCTCTGGTCTCATTTTCCCCCTCGGTCCCCCTCTAACAAACCCAGCTTCCTAATACTTGTCCCCGCATCCCTACCCACCCCTCCCGATCAGCCTCCAGTCTCGGGCCTCACCCCATCCGTGTGTGGAAGGCCTGAGCCTGCCTTCCGTTATACCTTACACTGACAGTTCTGATTTCTGTCTGTTCCCGCCCGACCTTACAGCCTGCACCCTCAAACCAATTCCCAGTAGGCGAGCCCCGCCCCAACTCCCCCTGACCCTGCACCCCACCCCTTCCACTGAGCCTCCCGCCCCTAGGCTGGTTCTGTCAGGAGACCTCCCCAAGCCCACCCTCCTTGCCTAGACTCATGTTTACTCAGATTTTCACACCCACCCACCCGCCTCTGCACCCCTTGCCAGCATTTCCAGTCCATTCTGCAGACCCTGGAGGAGCAAGTGTCTGGCGAACGGCAGCGCCTGGTGGAGATCCATGCCACCAGGGTCATCGCCCTGATCAACGACCAGCGCCGAGCCGCCCTGGAAGGCTTCCTGGCGGCTTTGCAGGGTGATCCGCCTCAGGTAGGGCAGGTGGGGAGGTAGGGGTTGGGGGCAAGCAGTAGGCAGAAGGTCAGGATCGGCCCGGACAGCCTCCGTCCCGCCCGCAGGCTGATGGAGTCCTGACGGCCCTGAGGCGATACCTGCGTGCCGAGCAGAAGGAGCAGAGGCACACGCTGAGGCACTACCAGCACGTGGCCGCTGTGGATCCCGAGAAGGCCCAGCAGATGCGCCTTCAGGTACACAGGCGCCTCCCGTCCCCAGATGCCAACCACGCTCATCTCTCTGTCTTTAAAAAGTGTTGTGGGGGCTGGGTAGTAGTGGTGCACACTGGCTTTAATCCCAGCACGGGGAGGCAGAATGGGCTGTGAGTTCAAGGCCAGCCTGGTCTCCAGAGTGAGTTCTAGGACAGCCAAGGCATCTGGTCCGTGGGGAGGCCAGAAGAGGGTGTTGATCCTCCCGGAACTGGACTTACAGATGGTTGAGAGCCACCATGTGGGTGCTGGGAATTGAACCTGGGCCCTGTAGAAGAGCAGCAAGTGTTCGTTCCCGCCGAGCCATCTCTCCAGCCCCAGATCCTTCTCTTGACCCTCACTTTCCGTTTAGAACCCTTCATTAAATCGGAACTTCCTTTTTGTATCTCCAAACACGTCCTGGCCCTTCCATTCTTTCATCTCAAATTCCAACTTCATGATGCTGGAACACTGCTCCCAACACACACACACACACACACACACACACACACACACACACACACACACACAGGAACGCCCACGTGAACCCACTCACCCACCAGCCACTCATGCACGATTACACACTTGTCATACTGTGCTTTTAACTCCCTTCCTGCCCCCAGAATTCCTACTTCCTGTCCTTCGGGATCCTATTTCTTGTCTCTTAGATTCCTGCTCCTGCTTCCAATCCCTTGGACTTTGCTTCCTCCCCCAGAATCGCTGAGCTTGGAGCTCGGCCTTCCACCTCCTTCCCTAGGCCCGCTTGCTTTCCCTAGAACCCCTGTTGTATGCTCTAGGAGTCTCATTCTGGTTTCTTGGACATTCTCTTCTGGTCCACAGATACTCTCCTCCATGCTCTTGAATGCCAAGCCTTGCCCTTGAACCACTGTCATTCCTGTATGAATCCTCTGTACCAATACCTGTCTACCCACAGTCCCCTCACCTGCCCCTCCAGCCGTTCCTTCTCCCTCTGACCCACGCATCTACTTCCTCTATCTGTACCCCGCCACTCACTGTGCAATAGCCCTCTCTGCCTAACCTGGAGATTGCTATGTAGATC